TGCCACTCAACAAACCCAGGGTGCACGCCATTCTTGCGTTCAAGTCGGAGCAGGTCTCACCCGCGCAGCTGCGAACGACCAGCTCTAGCAAGCCACCAGAGCATGCGTGCCGGGTCGAGGTGCGGCTTGACAATCTAAGCACAACGGTACGTTCCGGAAGCCCTGTAGCATTGTACAAGCGGCATCTCTCGTGACCCGTGCGCTGCATCAGGGTGTCGCCACGACCAAGCGCGAAGCAAAGCAAAGGGCCGCGCAGCTGATGCTGAAGCAGCTCCGACCCGAAGCTCGCAGCTGGGGCGAGTTGCTCGATCTAGAAGAGGCCGACACGGCAGCGGTACGGCACCGGGACCACTTGTCCACAATCACTCTCGCCTTGGGCCTTGGGGGGGGGGAGGCCTGCATGGCCCGCTGCGTAACTAACATGATCGTGTTCCCAAACGGAGCAGGCGCAGGGAGGTGGTGCCGCATCAGGGTCGGCGCGGCGTCGCGGTGGCGATGTTGAGAGTGACACTCACGCCAGCGACATGCCCAACCTGCGGCTGCTCGAGCAACTCAAGGACGAAATGCGGAAGCGCCTGGCCTCTTGATTCCGTCTTCCCAGAGCCGCTTCTGCAACGGCACCAGACGATCTATCGCTCGTGTTGCAGACTCCACGAGCTGACGGCTGCATCGATCGCACACGACACTCACGGCTTCAAGGAAGTTGATCAGGCAGGGCCGCGGCCGATCGGTGTCATCTGTCAATGTCCGGTTTTTTCCTGGCGCGGCGGGGGCCAATCAGAAAAATTCAATTTGCCACGCCCAACAGAGCCAAGGAGCAACTTTCGGGGGCGAGGAAGCGCGCAACTCTCTGCGGGCAATAGACGATCGGCCATCGACGCGTCAACGACGTAGACAAGCGTCCACCATGCACGCCAACACACAGGAACGCGAATGCGTTTTGTTCAACAAATCTATAAAATGTACGCATCTGATTCCTGAACTCTTGCTCTTGTCACTCCCACTCTCGCTCCCGCGTCGCAACCGCGCTTCGCTTCACTCCATCTTTCAATTCTCAACCGAGAACGATTTTCGACACGGATTTATTTATTTACTTATTAAATACAATTAAATCGTATATTTGTGTAGGGACGAGCCAGGTCGTGGCCAACATGTACGCAGAACTGGTCGGTCCGCCGTACTCGCTGGAGGGCCGTGAGGGCATGCGCAAGGGCCAGTTCCAGCAACTCATGCACCAGATCAAAGTCCCCATGCCCCGCACTGGTACCACACGCACACGCACACGCACACGCACACGCACACGCACACGCACACGCACACGCACACGCACACGCACACACCACACAACCACACACGACGCACCCTTTCATGTGCAGCCGATCACACACTGTGTTGCTCACAGCGAGAACAACAACTCTCTCGGGTGGTCGTGTTGTCACCAGGTCCGTTCAGCTCTACGATGAACGACCGACTCTTCCACATGTTCGACAAGCGCAAGAGCGCGCGGGTCAGCCTGGAGGACCTGCTGCACGGACTCCACGTACTCAGCGGTGACTCCAAGAAGGACAAGCTCGCACGTATGGCACTTGACATGACATTGCGTGGCCCCCGCGCAGCTCCTCCGCCCGCCGCACAACGCTGCAGCGCTGATATGACGTGGTCTTTCCCTTCGCCGCCACAGTGGCGTTCAAGGCGTTCGACATGGGCAACCGGGGCGTCGTCACGCTGGGCGACATGGCGGCGGCCATCAAGGACATCACCAGTACGGTTTAAACCCGCCTTGATCTTCCCCTCGCCCCCCCCCCCCATGGACCGCTCACGCTTGTGTTGGGCATCCGATGATCATTTTAGATATCCTGTACGTGGGCCAGAAGATCCCCACGCCGGAGCGAGTGAAGGTGTTCGCCACCGGAGGTGCTCGTCCCCCTCCCCCAGCTGCGTCGCATTATTATTTATTATTTTTATTATTTATTATGATTCTTAATTCTATGCGTAAATATTAGAATAATAATTATAGATGATTTTTTAAATTATTGAGCTCAATATCTTTGTTCCAGTGATGGCGCAGTACAACGACGACAAGGAGGAGGAAGCCGCGTACGTGCTGAGCGCGGAGCAGTTTGTGGCGTCGGCGATGGACTCGGCCCAGATCGCCAACCTCTTCTCGCTCGGGTCGATCTCGGCCGACGACGCCAAGTCCGCCGCAGCGGACGCCGAAGATCACGAGGGCAACGCCGCTGAGGAGCCTGCGCCCGCGCCGAGCAAAAGGGCCGCACCGACTGAAGCGGCCAAGCCCAAGCCAACAGCCCCGGCGGGCAACGCCGCCGCCGCTGATGTGGGAATGCGCGGAATGGGGCGAGCAGCGCCGGCCGCCGGTCGCGGCATGCCGCCGCCAGCGGGGCGAGGCGGAATGGCAGGGCGTGGCGCGCAGCTGCAGCAGCCGCCGCACGGGCCTCGGGCAGCTGGTGGGCCGCACCACGACTCAGAAGCTGCGGTGCCGCACGCCCGCGCCGCCGATGCGGGCGAGGTGCGCATGCGACGGCGGAGCTCCGGCGAGAAGGACTCGCGCGAGAAGCGGAAGAGTGGGAGTTCAGAGGGCGGTAAGCCCACCGGGCCGGCAGCGGCGCCCGCAGCTGCGTCGATCAGCCCGCGCGGGCCCAAGCCGTCCCAAGCCCCGCCCACCACCAGCGAAAAGGCGCCAGCGCGCAAGGAATCCGCGGGCCGCACTGGTACGTCGCAGCCTCTGGCCTTCGCGCGCCTTTTTGTCATCAGTCGTCTGATCTGCATTTGTCTCGCAAACGCAACGCAGAGCCCGGCGAGGGCACGGAGACGATGGAAGAGATGAACGCCCGGCTGGTGGCTCACATCCGCGCGCTCCAGTCCGAGCTGCGCAAGTACATGGACTTTGACAAGGTCCGCTCATCCTTCCGCCATCAATTCGCTGCTCTCGCGCTGTGGCGTCAAATTGACCGTTGCGTTGCGTTGCCACAGGACAACAAGCAGGAGGTCGAGCAGCTCAACTCGCAGGTGCAGGAGCTCACCGCAGAAAACACACAGCTCAAG